AGTCGGCTTCAATCATGCGGGCTGAATATTTCTGCAAAGTGGTGAAGGAAGCATGAACTTGGAATCCTAACTGTCTGATCCCAGATCCCCACTCCCCGCCATTCTGTGACTCACTGAACTTCTCTTGGTCCCCTTCTAACATCTCAGTATCTCAGTTCACCCACCTGTAAATTGGGGAAGAAAATGCCTACCTCACATTTATTGTGAACATTGAATAAGATATATTTTAAGTGTTCTAGAACAGCACGTGGTAGGTGCTTAACCAGCTGGGCACATAGTAGGTATTTGGCAAGCATTTCTTTTCTCTCTCTCAATCCCCTCCTTTATTTTTCATGTATGTGGCATCTAGAATGAACATTTTGTATTACATCCTCAAGGTTGTTTTCTTTCTTTGTTAACTCAGAATTGAGAAAAGCAAAGCGTTGCTCCATAGCAGATCTGGCACATACCTCCTTCCCTCTCTGGCCTTTGGACAAAGCCAAAGAGGCAACTACAGAAAAAGCTGCAGAATAAACTGCAGGGAAAAAACTGATAACCCATCAGTTACCTTTGTATGAAGTTTGGTTATTTCAACAGTTTCTTGTGTGCTTTTTTGTTTGTTTTAAACTACGGTATAAAAGCATATTCATTCCAAGGCACACAATCCTACTCAAAGACATAAGTAGCTTGAAAGGTTTCTTCAACTCATTGCTGAAACTATCTTAGAAGTTTCTCTTTTGGCAATGCCTTCAAGGCCAGCCCATGAATTAGGCACGACCATTAACAGGCACATTTCAAGCTCACCTGGGTGCAGGCATGGATGGTGTAGTAATTCCTTCAGTCTTTCAGCATCCATTTACAGAGCATTGCCTAGGCGCCTTGCCAGAAGCAGGGGCTGGAGATACTGTGTGAACAACACAGCTACAGTTTTGCTTCCATGGAGCTTTCAGTCCAGTTGGAGAGACAGACACAGAGCAAGGGATTACAGCAGAATATACAGTGGCTTATGATGGAGGTGGTGCAGGGCCGTGTGAGTGCGTGGGACAGGGGCACCCAACCAGGGCAAAGAGTCAGGAGGCTCCTGGAGGAAGCGACACCTAATCTGAGTCCTGGAGAGTGAGTGGGAGGTAGCTACCTCCCCTGCGATTCCTGGACCTTGACACTGAGAAGGAGAGTGAAGAGATGTTCGGCAGGCAATTGGATAACAGGGTCTGAGCTCAGAAGACTGAGGCGGGTTGGGCTATCAGAAGCATCTCCTGGGCAACTGAAAGAATCTTCCCTGTTACCTTGGGTAAGGGAGACACACACCCTGGCCCTCCCCCAACCCAGATCGATGCTATTGCATGTCTGGAGGCCAGGGTTGGTCTCACCAAGGCTGGTAGTCAGTCTCATGACCCAGAAAACCGCAGCTGTCCCTCCACTGCCTGTCTACCCCATCTCCCTGCCCAGTCCACGAGTGTCCAGGAGGCTCATCCCAGAGCTTCACGATTGGGGGACAGAGCCATTCTACGTGGCCCACATACTTAGACGGCAGAGCCAGATTTGAGTAGGTTCTAGAAGCCCTTCAGTCCTGAGATACTTTTATTGTTGCTCGACTTGAAACAGTATGTGAAGAGCTTTTGTCTTGGCGGGAATAGGGGCCAAAAAGGTACAGAGGGTTCTGAACCGTCCCTGACATGCAGAGATTGGAGTATTAGCCTCCAGCAGCTGCTGTACAGGAAGCTGGATGACCATATCCACATGGAAACAATCACAGGCTGGTGGGTATTTCTTTCCTCAGGGTTGAATCCAGCTTTGGGAGACAGAGAACTGAAATGAGGGCAGATGAAAAAAACTGGCCTGGCATGAAAGGGAGAGGAAATGCTTTCTTTGCTGGACCATTTCTAGAAAACATGCAGGAAATCTAATATATATATGTATTTATATATTTATCTAATAAATTTATTTTTTAAAATATCAGTCTATATGTAACTATTATATATAGTTATGAGTAACATAAGGGAGTAACTAGGCACAGTCTAAGAAAGGACAGCCTAATGGAGAAAGGAAATAAAAGCACGGAAGTACAGCTGTATGGGGTTATTTAGTAAAGGGGTGGAACTCTACAGGTAACTGCCCAATGGACATCCCTGTATACAATACAAATCCATAAATGATGATTACAGCAATTATCCAGACCCATTACAACGTCTCGATTATGTTCAGTTCAATCTGGTTAAGAAGGTAGAGGCATTTGTAACTCATTTTAGAAATATTTCCATAAAATATTTTAGTATTTTCAATGCTAACTACCCTTAAGTGACCTGGTAACTCACATGTTTTATTTCACTTCCCAGTGATGCAAGATAAACCACATTCTGCTGAAGACATCCCACACGGTTATAAATGCACTCACTTGTTTACACAACAGGTAGGAGGCCACTTCTGTGCAAAGAACCCCAGGTCCGTGAGAAGTACAAAAGGGTGATGGAGAATTAAAGGAGACGTAGACAGCTCACTTAACTTCAAGGAGGCAATGGCTCCAGTAATGGCTGCGGAGCATCTGATGTCAAGCACTGAGAGAGGCCCCACAGAAGAATGGGGAGAATGTCCAGGGCCCAGGGATGTGGAGGGTACTTCCACAGGAGAGTGGGGTTTGGTGTAGCCAGAAGAAAGATGTTAAGAGGTAGATTATGAGTGATGAGGGAAGATGTGTGGATGTTCTCAGCAATAAAGATTTTTGACTTTCATTTATAGACTGTGAGACATCACTGAAAGTGTGATATGGTCAGACCTGTGCCTTTGAAAGAATGTGCTAGATGCAATATGTAGGCTGTACTGGCAGAGAGGTACTGGAGAGAGCAAGACACAGTAAGAGACTACTGAAATAGTTTGATTAAAAACTAATGAAAGCGTTCATGCAAAGACTTGGCATGAATTTTCACGGCAGCTTTAGTCACAAAAGCCCCAAATGAGAAGCAACCAAATGTCCTTCAGCAGAAGGGGAAGACAAATGGTGGCAGAGCTACACAATAGAAAACTATGTAGGAATGTAAAGACATGAACTACTGATAACTGCAACAACACACATGAACCTCAAAATGCTTATGCTGAGCAAAAGCAGCCAGACACAAAGAGTACATATTGTCTGGTTCCATTTATGTAAAATTATAGAAAATGCGAACTAATCTACAGTGCTAAAAAGCAAATTAGTGGCTGCCTGGGACACTGGAGGGAGGTTTGGGCTGCAAATGGGCCAAAAGGAATATTTTGGGGGTGATGGAAATGTTTTGTATCTTAATTGTGGCATAGGCTTTATAGGTACATATGTGTTAAAACTAATGAATTGCACATTTCAAATGGAAGCAATTTATTGTACATACATCACACCACAGTAAAGCTGATTTTAGAAACTAAGAGGGACTTCTGGACAAAGATGCTAGATGAAACTTACCTACTTTCATCCCTTCCACTAAATAGTAGTACAATCTTTTTTTTTTTTTGAGAGGGCATCTCTCATATTTATTGATCAAATGGTTGTTAACAACAATAAAATTCTGTATAGGGGAGTCAACGCTCAATGCACAATCATTAATCCACCCCAAGCCTAATTCTCGTCAGTCTCCAATCTTCTGAAGCATAACAAACAAGTTCTTACATGGTGAACAAATTCTTACATAGTGAATAAGTTCTTACATGGTGAACAGTACAAGGGCAGTCATCACAGAAACTTTCGGTTTTGATCACGCATTATGAACTATAAACAGTCAGGTCAAATATGAATATTCGTTTGATTTTTTTTTGACAGGGCATCTCTCATATTTATTGATCAAATGGTTAACAACAATAAAATTCTGTATAGGGGGGGTCAACACTCAATGCACAATCATTAATCCATCTCAAGCCTAGTTCTCGTCAGTCTCCAATCTTCTGAAGCATAAAGAACAAGTTCTTACATGGTGAACGAATTCTTACATAGTAAGTTCTTACATGGTGAACAGTACAAGGGCAGTCATCACAGAAAGTAGTACAATCTTTTTAAAGGTATGTATCTACAAGGATAGTACAATGAAAAAGGGACCATTAGCAACAAAATTAACTGAAACTGGAAAGGATGGAGTAATGAAGTGACTGAATCCTAAGGGGCCAGTGATCAGCTCAACTGCACAAAGGGTGAAGAATCGTAAGGGCCCCGATTACCTCTGGATGTGAGGGTGACAGCAGGCTGGCTAAGTAAGGAGGACTGACGGAAGATCTGTTCATAAGCATTCAGCTTTTAAACTGATACCCTTCTCCACCCACTCCTGGAGAGATAAATGAAGTGCCTTTGGACTGAGAGATCCTAGGCATGATTCAGGGAGAAGGAAACGTACCAAAACCAGGCTGATAAAAGAAGAGACATGCTCGAAGTTGAGATCCCTGCTTATTTAGGTCCCAGAAAGTTGATAGCCAAGCCTTCAATTTCCAAGGAGAGAATGGTAGAGTCTCTGGATAGGGTGACCAGTCAGCAAGGAAAGACCTAAAATAGTGCCATTGAAATCACAGCCCAGTAAGAAATCACAGCCTTCTGTGTGGGAGAAGGCCATGGAGTTGGAGGTCCCCTCAGGCTCTCAGAGCTTTAAGTCAGCATTTCATCCCTCTGCTCTTAAATATAACCAACAAGCAAGGATTACAATGCAAAACATGGGACACAAAACAAATGAACATAAAAGAGCAATTTGTTGGAAACATACAATATGCAATTAGAAGTAAAACTGAGAGATAAATTATGGCAACCATAAAAGAAGAACAGATTGCTATATAAAAGGAAAATTCTGAGAATTATAAAAAGAGATCTAAGAATTTAAAATACAGCAGAAATGAAACCCTCAACTAAAAACTTAGAAAATGAATTTGGAACATTACCATTAGAAAAAGAGTGAAAAGGAGGGGATGGTCAAGAAAGAGAGGTGGTTTTTTTTCGTTAAATAAAAGTGGGGGGGGGTAAGAACAGATTGCTATATAAAAGGAAAATTCTGAGAATTATAAAAAGAGATCTAAGAATTTAAAATACAGCAGAAATGAAACCCTCAACTAAAAACTTAGAAAATGAATTTGGAACATTACCATTAGAAAAAGAGTGAAAAGGAGGGGATGGTCAAGAAAGAGAGGTGGTTTTTTTTCGTTAAATAAAAGTGGGGGGGGGGCATATATTTCAAGAACATTTCCTATAATTGACAAACATTAGTTGGTAAATTGAAGAGCCCACTAAGTACCCAAAACAATGAATGCAGAGACACAACAACATGAGTTTTCAGAACAGAGAAGACAGAAGAGATCACAAGCTTCCAGAGAGAATTTCAAAAAAGGAAAAATTAAAACAGGTCACATACAAAGAATCAGGAATCATGATGTCTTCAGATTTCTTAATGGCAATACTGGAAACTCGAAAGTAACAGAACAAGACCTTCAAAACTCAGAATGAAAATTAATTCCAACCCAGAATTCCAAACTCAGTCTATTAATTGATTATAGGCACTTTCTTTCCATCAGCCAAGTCTCAAAAAAATCATCTCCTCTGCACCCTTTCTCAGGAAGGTCTGGACGATGTGTTCCACCAAAACAAGAGATTAAGAAAGAAGAATATGCAGGGTACAGTTTATAAGGGCTTAACAAGGAAGAGGGGAAAGGAAATTTCTAGAATGACGATGTAGGGAAATCCCAGAATGACATCTCTGGTCTGCAATTAATAGTTGTTTTTCCTATTAAGAACTTGTAGCCCACATGGCATCTCTTGTGCATTAAAAGATTTTTTAAAAACCCTAACCACAAAGGCAGAGTTTTAAAACATATTTTGTGTGAATGAATTACCCAAGGGCAGATTCTGTTGCCTACATTCCAGGATGTTGTTTGAGGAGGTCTGGATGGGACTCCAGGAAAGTGCACCTCAGGTGATTCAATGCAGGTGGTTCATGGACCACATCTGCAAAACATCTGTCTAAACAATAGTGTGAATAGCCGAGTAAATGGAAGCTCAGCTGTCATATTTATGGACTGCCAGTATTTACTCTTTTAAAATTGAGATATAATTCACATAAATAAAATTCGCCATTTAAAAGTGTACAGTTCAGTGGTTTTTAGTTAAATTCAGTGTTGTACAACCATTACCACTATCTAATTCCAGAATATTGTAATCACCCCAGAGAGAAACACTGTACCCATAGTAATTATTCCCCATCCTCCCCAACCCCCAACCCTTAGGAATTACTATCTATTTTCTGTTTCTGTGGGTTTGCTTATTCGGGACATTAAATATGAATGGAATTGTGCAATATGTAGACTTTTGTATATATAGCTTCTTTCATTTAACATAATATATTCAAAGTTCATCCATGTTGTCACATGTATTAGTACTTTGTTCCTATTTATGATGGAATAATATTCCATTGTATGGATATACAGATTTTGATTTTAATCAACTCATCAGTTATATATATTTGGGTTGTTTCCATCTTTCACTCCTGTGAAAAGTGTAATGCTGCAATGAACATTCATGTACAAGTTACTGTGTGAGCACCTGTTTTCGATTCTCTTGTGTATATATACCTGGGAGTAAAATTGCAGGGGCATATAGTAATTGTTTGCCTTTTTGCAGAACCGCCAAACTACCTTCCACAGTGGCTGTACCATTTTATGCCCCCACTAGAAATGTATGTGGGTTCTGGTATCTGTCTTCACATCCTTTCCCCCCTTTTTCCCCTCTTTTCTTTTTTTAATTATAGTCATCTTAGTGGGTGTGAAGTGGTATCTCGCTGCGGTTTCTGATTTGCACTTCCCTACTCCTTTCCCAGGTTGTCTGTTTCATGTATACATTGTCAGATCACATAGCTAGTAGAGATTATAAACTCCCTTAATACTCTCTATTCTCAATTCTATGCCATATGTATAGAATGCTCACTATAGTTCTTAGGTTGATGTCTCTGTAGTGTGATGTTCATTCTTTATGCGATTCCTTAGGAAGAGGTCACGGGAACAATATTCCCTGAGTTATGATAATAGTAGATCATTTAAGACCTTTTTCCTTGAAGATCAGTTTTGATGGATTAAACCCCTTGACTCACACTTCTTAATTGGACTATCTTAAATATGTACTCTCTCATCCCATTTTCTTATGACCTAAAATATAGCCAAGGAGTACAATTGCTAGATCATATGGAAAGGCTATGTTTACTTTGTAAGAAATCACCACACTGTGTTCCAAAGTGTTACCGTTTTGCATTCCCACCAGCAGTGAATGAGAGTGCCTGTTGTTCCACATCTTCACCAGCATTTGGTGTTGGCAGTGTTTTGGATTTTGGCCATTCTAATAGGTGGGTAGAGGTATTTCACTGTTATTTTAATTTGTATTTCCCTAATTACATACAATGTGAAGTATCTTTTCATGTTTATTGGCCACTGATATATCTTCTTTGCTGAGATGTCTGTTACTGTTTTTGGCCCATTTTTTAAGCAGGTTGTTTCCTTATTGTTGAGTTTCAAGAGTTCTTTTTAAATTTTGGATAACACTCTTTACCAGATGTGTCTTTTTGCAAATATTTACCATCCATTATATTGTTTAATTCTTATAACAGCCCTGATGAAGTAGTTATTGTTACCCTCACTACAGATAAAGAGCACAGTAAAATTGCTCAAGGTCATACAACTGGTGAGTAGGAGAACCAGGCTTGTTACCCAGTTAATTGCATATTCCATTCTCCCAGCCAGGCACCCAGTCGCATCACCTTTATCTTGGGGATGTGTTAGAGTCAGAGAACCTAACTTCATGTGTGTGTCTTTGTTTCAGTGCAGATTATAGAATCAACTCATTTTCTTTCCCTGAATCCTTTCCTAGATAGGTCTTCTGAACTGGACAGGGAACCCACTGGAACTGAAAAAGATATGCTTGTGCCTGGTGCATGACAGGGTAGCATAACTCAGAATCCTGATTCTATACCCTTTTGCTGGGTACTTTCTCTTCCTCTTGTTGTAAAAGTCATAAATGTAGCTCTAAAACATCAATGCAAATGGGTTTCTGAATAATGACTTGTATTGTCTCCTTCCAGGTCCTTTACATTCTTATGTCCCAGAAAGTGTTCCTTACAAACAGGTGTTATTTCCATGTGTTTATGCTCAGGTGCTGTGAATATGCTTTTAGCTGTCTGCAAAGCTGATCGGAGCCAGAACTTCTATTCGCCACCTCTGACAGCCATTCTTTGCTGACAGACTTGCTTCAGGACAGATGTAGCTCGGGGAAGGTCACTGCAGTGCACTGATATTATTCAAACTGGATCAGTGTAAAAATGTCTGCCCTTAAATTTTACAAGGTTCAGTGATTATCGTTATATGTCTCCAGTGTTATTATTTTGGGCATCCAGAAACATGAGGTTAAATGATGAAATTTGGGGGGGTGGGAAGAGGTTTCAGTCAACTGTCACTATCTCTAACATCCCACTTAAGAGTGATCTAACCTTTGCAAAGCCTTCACCTCAAATGTATTTTTATTGTTAGGTCGCACTGGAAATTCTCTGTTGCACTACCTTTCCTGTTTAAAAAAAAAATTAGAACAATCTAAGAAGACAGATAATATTTAATGGAAAAGGGCAGCGATGGGCTAATGGTTGCCTAGCAACCACTAGACATTGTTCTGCTTCACTCTAGAGAAGCCAAAATGGCGACTCTAATCCTTCCACAGCCCCCCGGTCAGGGTACGTGTGAGTGACAGTTCCCTCTGGGCCCAAATCATTTTCTTCTTTGTCTTGGGCAGCAGATCATTCCTTTTTTAGCCTTCAAATAGGGAAAACTCACTGCCTAATTCTTGAATACGCTAATGCCTACACTTTCATCTTCTCAGAAAATCTACCAGCTGAACTTCTCAGGTTCTTCCTTGGGGCAGTTCTACTTAAGCAGTTTCATGCATTCCCCATTTCTCCCTGAGTTCACCTGTCAGTCAGTTTCCAACCCTCGTTAAGGATTTTCTGAGGTTAAGCAACACACTTGACATTACTGTGTTTTAGAAAGTCTTTTGTTTTATCCTCCTTTCTGCTTCCAGGTCTTGACATAGTTCCTTCCCGAGGGCCAAGAGAAGCTTGGTAATTCGTTGACCACTGGGTTTTCTCACAACTAGAGAATGGAGGGCAAGGAGAAATATGGTTACTGAAAATATGCTGAGAAGTTTCAGGATTATAAGCATGACCAATTAGACTGACTGGACCTATTTTTACAAACAACATTTTCATTAGCTTATCTCAAAAGCCACAAGTCTACTGCAAGAAACCCAAAATTCCTGAATGGCTTTACCCCTTTGCTAAATCACAACAGATTGTAGGTAGGTCTTGTGTGGCCCTGACTAGAGAGAAGAAATAGCCATTGTGCTGTAGACGGTCTATGATAGCTTGCTGATATGAGACAGATGGGATGAGATTTCTTAGCCATCGTGGAGAACTGGGTACTCTAGAAGGGGCCTATTTAAGCAGGATCCTCTAGAACCATTAACCACAGGAATCATATCAAAATATAGTGTATATGTTCACATATATAGTCTTTCAGAGAGAGGGTCTGTCTGCAGCCTCCAGAAGGTTAAAAACCAGAGGTAGAGAGGAAGTGAGGAAATGAGGAGCTTTGTCAAAAATCTTTTTGTTTCAGAAAAATAAAGTGAGGACACTTTAGAGTAGAAATGTTTCCAAAGAAGAAATAAAAGGAAATAAGCATTTATTAATCAGTTAATAGGTACTTTAACTCATGAATTCAGTCAACAAATATTTACTGAATATTTACTAAGCAACTGTTACTGTGAAAGGTCCTAGGGATACAGTCATAAAAAAGGGATAGTCCAGTACATCATGGTGTTGCAGCCTAGGGGACTGAGTAACATTGGTTGAACATATATTATGGCTAAGAGTTTTATGCACATTAATAAAATCTTCACAAGCAACCATATAAACTTCAGATGATTATATTATCATTTAAATCTCAAATTATATATAACTAAGAACTTTCTGACTCTAAAGCTGGTCCTCTATCAGTCCCACGTACAAGAGCTTACTTTTGGGTAATTCTTAGGGCAGAATTCAGGATATGCTGAGATGGGGTTTGGGTAGTTCCAAGGGAAGCAGCTTCTGCCTGGAATATAATATAGAGCTGGTGTCTTATTTTTCTAAAGATCCAGGGAGAACATAGGAAATGCTCTACACTATACACAAAATTAATACACTATACCAGCTAATGGTAACTGAGTGCTTACTGCATGCCAGGCCTTGTGCTAAATTCTCTACATGCATTATTTTAATGCTCACAACAACTTCAACAGGTAAACATTATTATTAACACCACTTCACAAACAAGATATTGAAGCTAGATAATTCCCATAGCTAGTGAGAGTCCAGAGCCGAGATTCAAACCCAAGTTTTACTGTCTCTCATATCATCTTTTATGGATATTTAACTTCTCTGGGTCACTGGGAAACTGTCTGAAGGCTGGAGCCACCAATTACATTTCTGTTTTCTCCAGAAAGCTTGGCACACAGGCAGGAATAACAACAGTAATACTAATACACACTTACATAAACCTTACACAGTATCATCAAGAAGTGCGAAAGGTCTGAGAATCCACTCTACTTACAGTTAGGTGAGCCTGCCGCTGTTCTGTGGATGCTGGCAGAGGACATTAGACTCCTGGGTCAGAGACAAAGGACAATTTATTACTCATGAGCAGTAGCCATTAGCATTTTTTGTACAGATTCCTACAATGTGATACTAAAAAGGCCAGGTGACAACAGCTCTCTGCATGGCTCTCCCTAAAGCAGAGGAACTCTGAGCTGAGGGAACCGAAACCCTTTGTAATGGGAGTAAGCACGGCTGCCTTAGCTCCGGAGGGACACATTTTCTTTACCATATTGGACAGTAAGCATGGCTGCTCTTTGCCTCAGAAGGAGACATGATCTCAATCTTCCAAGGCTGTTTATATATACAAACATTCTTGCAAAAATAAGTTTGGAATAAAAGGGTGGTGCCTTGCTTGCTAGATTTGCAGAAATGCAAGAGACCCCACAAGGCTATTATTTGCTATGTGTCAGGATCTCAGCACTTTCATATTTATTGACGCCTTTAATCCTCACCGCCCTATCAGATAGGTACTATTATTATCACCATTTTTCAGAAGGAGAACCAAGATACAGAGAGATTAAGTAACCCGCTTAAGGTTACACAATTCCCAGTGGCAGGGCTGGGATGTGAATCTGCATTGCTCAAGTTCAGTGTCTAACTGCTTCACTATTTTAACATTGGCTGGTATCAGCAACGCCCCTCTTTTTCTCCATAGCTTCTCACCATGCGACAGCACTGTGGTTCTCAAACTTGAGTGTGCAGAAGAGTTACCTGGAGGGCTTGTTACAGCAGTTTTCCGACTCAGGTCTGGCCTGGAAGTTGAGAACGTCCATTTCTACCTTTCCCAGGTGCTGCTGGACCCGAATGCCACTTTGGGAACCACTGTGATGTTGTATAGTTTATTATCTGTCTTCCCCACTAGAATCTGAGCTCCAGGAAGTTCAATTTTCCATTTTGTTCAGTGCCATATCCTCAACTATAGTGTCTGGCACCAAACAAGCCCTCAACACATATTTACTAAGACTCAGGAAAGAAAATGGGGAAAAATCATTTTCCAGGTTCTGTTACCTGCCCTTAACTTTGGAGAATGCTCTAGTGCCCCCGTCCCTGAGCAGTCCTTACTGCCACAAGGCTAGAAGCAAAGGAACAGGGCACTGAATCCTGAAGAAGGCAGCTTGTTCCTGAAGCTACCCAACTTACAAAGCTTTTGTCAAGAATTGT